GACAGGATCCTCCCGCCAGCCGGGCCCGGCCCCTGCCTTGGCGACAGGGTATTGGGTGGGTGCACCCCACGAGTCCCTGCTTGGCTGGTGATGGCCCCAGCCATGTCTCCTCTCTTTGTGTTTCAGTGGAGAGAGTGGCTCAGGGAAGACTGAAGCCACTAAGTTGATCCTGCGCTACCTGGCAGCAGTCAGCCAGAAACGCAGCACTGCCCCGCAGGTAGGGAGCCACCCTAGGAACGTCCCTGCCCCCTTGTTCCACCTTGCCCCTCCTCCCCGTGCTCTCCTCCACCCTCTACTCATGGCCCCACCACTCTCTCCTTGTCACCACGCTTCCACCTGGACCACGGCAGATAGAGGTACCGGGGGGGATACGTGGGCTGGGACAGTTCAAGGGGATTGAGCATCGTGGTGGCATCTCTGCCATGTCACCCCAGCTGTGGGGGTTGGCAGGGATGTAAAGCTGGAGCTTGGTGCATGGGGTTCTCATGCTCTCCCGTGACCTGGCTGTGGTGCACACCTTGAATTTTGGCACCCCTGGGTGTCTGCAGGAGGTGTCAGGGAGGGTGGCATGGGTGGCAGGGTGACAAGAGGAGTCCCCTAGCCATGGGGACAGCCTGTGGCATGTCAGGGTGACCCCGTGGCTCTCCCTGTCACTGTGGCAGATCCTGGAGGCAACCCCCTTGCTGGAATCCTTCGGCAACGCCAAAACCGTGAGGAATGACAATTCCAGCAGGTTTGGGAAGTTTGTGGAAATCTTTCTGGAGGAGTAAGTAACGCTGAGCAACACCCATATGTGGCCACCCCCCATGCCCTTTGTGTGACCCCCTGCCCCACGGGTGCCCACCCTAGCTGCCCTGCCCTTCAGCTCTGGAGTGGGACACACACGGGGACACTTTTGTGGACAAAACTTAGTGGGGGAAAGGCAGTGTCCCCTGGATGGGCAGTGTTGGCTGTCCCCGGGGTAAAGCAGGGATGCTGTTCCCTTGGCTGGCACTTGGTCCCCGCCCCTGTCCCCACAGCTTGTCCCACCCTCACTCATCCCCCCCTGCTCCCAACGTGGGGTGCCCAGTATCATTCTGGGGTGGTGCAGCTCCAGCCCTCGTTCAGGAGCTGGGTATGGACTCCCTGCCCACCCATCCCTGGTGGAGGGCACCTAGGGACTGTCACTGACTCCTGTGTGCTGGGGGGATCATGGGTGCAGAGGTGGGTGTCACGGGGGGGGGGCACAGTCCCTGCCTGCTCCGCGGTTGCCAGACAGGTGCCCTCTCTTGCCCTCACAGCGGCATGATCTGCGGTGCCATAACCTCACAGTACCTGCTGGAGAAGTCCCGCGTTGTCTTCCAGGTGGGTGAGAGGGGATCCTGGGCCACTGTCACCCCCACCCACC